GCCGTGGGTGAGCGTGCCCCTGCCGTGGGTGAGCGTGCCCCTGCCGTGAGCGTGCCCCTGCCATGAGCGTGTCCCTGCCGTGAGCGTGCCCCTGCCGTGAGCGTGCCCCTGCCGTGGGTGAGCATGCCCCTGCCGTGGGTGAGCGTGCCCCTGCCGTGGGTGAGCGTGCCCCTGCTGTGGGTGAGCGTGCCCCTGCCGTGGGTGAGCGTGCCCCCTGCCGTGGGTGAGCGTGCCCCTGCCGTGGGTGAGCGTGCCCCTGCCGTGGGTGAGCGTGCCCCCTGCCGTGGGTGAGCGTGCCCCTGCCGTGAGTGTGGCTCTGGCTGTGTGGGGAAGGGATGGCCGGCTTTCCTTGGCTGGTGTTCGACCCCGTGGGGCCTGGAGGGGGGCTGTCTACCCTGGAGGGGGGCTGTCTACCCTGGAGGGGGCTGTCTACCCTGGAGGGGGCTGTCTATCCTGGAGGGGGGCTGTCTAGGCTGTCTACCCTGGAGGGGGCTGTCTACCCTGGAGGGGGGGGCTGTCTACCCGAGGGGGGCTGTCTAGGCTGCCTACCCTGGAGGGGGTCTGTCTACCTTGGAGGGGTCTGTCTACCCTGGAGGGGGGCTGCCTACCCTGGAGGGGGGCTGTCTACCCTGGAGGGGGGCTGTCTACCTTGGAGGTGGAGCTGGTCACGATCTCGGCAGCCACCCAGGTGCTGACATCGTCGCCGTGTCTTAGAAGCTGTACCAGGTACTTGTCTTGGATGTAGTTGGGTAGGAACAGGCTGCAGGTCTTGGTAGACAGAGACTCTGAAGAGTTGGCTCTGGGAGAGGAACAGCGCGGTCACCTGGGATGTGTGGCAGGGCCCCGCGGATGGGGGACGTGGGGTGGGGGTGGGGCGAGCAGGGAACACGAGGCCAGGCCCACGCAGGACCCCGCGGGGGGCAATGACGATAAGCCAGGCCCTCCCCAAGGACGAGACCCAGCCCAGAGCACCCACAGGGGCTCCCGCTGCCTCCCAAAGGGAGGACTCTGCCCCGTGGGGAGGAGCCACTCGGGCGTGGCCGCTCGGACCCTGGGGTCACTCACCTGGAGAGGGCCTCACAGACCCTGGGGTCACTCACCTGGAGAGGGCTGCTCGGACCCTGGGGTCACTCACCTGGGGAGGGCCTTACGGACCCTGGGGGGGGCAGGGCACTCACCTGGGGAGGGCCGCACTTTTATCTGTGACACCCAGGGCCCGTGAATTGAGAAAGTGGACAGGGTGGCACTTCTGAAACAATTCCTGCCAGAAACATGTGAGCAGATGGTCAGCATGCTGTCTGGCCGTCCCCGAGCGTCAGATGTCTGGGCCCTGCCTGCAGTCACAAGCCAGCTGCCTGGCAGGCAGGCCGGACGCCTGTGCTTTGGTTCAGCTGATGAGGGCTGCGGTTGGCCCAGCCCCAGCCTGTGTGGCCTGTGTGTCCCACACACCTGGAGTGCAGGCCTCACCCTCCCCCCCCCCCCAGGCTCGTCCTGCTTCAGGTGGCAGCACTCCCGGACCTGGGCAGCTGGCCAGTGCATCCTGCAGCTGACCTGTGTCCCAGGTGCCCCTGAGCACCCGTGTCCCGGGGCTCATGACACGGCGCCCACGGCCAGCCTGGTGCAGAGTCCTGGGCCCCTTCCAGCCCCAGTGGCCCCACAGACCTGCTGCAGCAGCGTGAGCTGAGTGAAGAGCTGGTGGGTGCTGTGCCCCGTCAGGAAGTAGGGCCCCTTCTCGCTGGCTTTGGCATAGGGGCCGTAGAAGTCGTCAAAGAAGCAGGGCTTGGGCAGGGCGGATGCGATGGTGTACTGGCGCTCCTTGTGGGGCAGGGCCAGCCCGTTTCCCCGGGGAAGCTTCCAGGAGAAGCTCTGTGGGCAGGCCGGGTCCCCCTCCAGGTAAGGCGGGCGGGGACGGGTAGCAGGGCAAAGACCCGCCAGTCCAGCCCGGCTCTGGTGAGACTGGCTGAGCTAGACCAGAGCAGATCCCTCCCTCGATGCTGTGGCTTGGGGACCTCTGTCCCAGTCACTTGGGTGGACCCCAGGGGTGCACGGCTGCCCCCCCCACACCGGTGGACAGACCACTGGATTCCCCAGCAGATTCTCCCACCAGCTCTGTGCCCTGAGGCCCAGGATCACAACAGGACCCGCCTCTTTGGAGTCCTGCTGCCCCTCACCTCCTTCCCCAGGGCGGCTAGTACCCGCCCAGCAGGGTCGTGAGGGACATGTACAAGGCACACGTGATGTGCACCGGTGCGTGCCTGTGGCCTGTGTCTGTGCTTGTGTATACGTGTGCAGGCGTGTGTGCGCGGGCCACACCCAGCGAAGGCCCACCTTCCGGGAGGCGCCATCCTCGGAGAGCTTCTTACAGAGGCTGGTGAAGGGTCTGAGGTCCTCGGCCTGCTTGGGGTCCTCTAGGTCTGTGTCAGGAGAGGCACAGGCAGCCCGCTGGTCAGTGCCCACCTCCAGGAGGTCCAGCAGGTGCTCAGCAGAGCCGTCCAGGGGCAGGATCTAGGCAGAAACATGGGCGAGGGGGTCGTGGTCACCTCTGGAGCAGGAAGTTGCTTCCCTCTGGGAGCCTAGCCTGCCGGCCAGGCTGCCGGGGCAGCGGTCACCTTGGAAGAGATAAAGTCCTCCAGCCGCCCCAGCAGCCCCGCGTTCCTTGTGAAGTCCACAGTGTAGCAGTCTTCCACCCAGGCCTGCAGGACACAGAGGCTCCGGCGGTAGATCTTGGCGAAGGTTGAGGTGGGGTCCTGATGGGCCCTGGAGGCAGAGGGGACCCATGGACAGGGCCTTCAGCTGGGCGCAAGTGGGTGCACCGGACACGGGTGGTGACTGGCCTGGATGAGAGACCAGAGCCCTCCCTCCTCGCGCCCTCCTCCTCCTCCTCCTCAGTGGTCCTGAGCAGAGCCCCTCACGCCCTCCTCCTCCTCCTCCTCTTCCTCCTCCTCCTCCTCCTCAGTGGTCCTGAGCAGAGCCCTCCCCTCATGCCCTCCTCCTCCTCCTCCCCCCCTCTTCCTCCTCCTCCTCCTCCTCAGTGGTCCTGAGCTGAGCCCCTCATGCCCTCCTCCTCCTCCTCCTCCTCAGTGGTCCTGAGCAGAGCCCTCCCTCGCGCCCTCCCCTCAGGCCCCATCACTCCTCACAACACATGGCTCCCACCATCTCTTCTTCCCCCTCCGGCTTTCCCAGGGGGTCACATACACCTGATCTCTGTCAGGGTCATGTGGGCCGCCTTGTCCCTCCTGGGTGGGCAAGATGCCATGGAGTCCGTCTGGCCTGCCCCATGGCCTAGGGCAGTACCTGGACAGGGTGCTGCTGATGCGGTCCAGGAGGAAGTGCAGGAAGTCTTGCGGTGTGCAGAAGTACCGGAAGGTGTAGAGGAACTGCTGCACGTAGCCCTCGAGGAAAGCACCGCTGTGGGGAGAGCCGCACTTGGGCCTGGCCCCGGGGGCCCGGCCCCTCCCGGAGCTCCACGTGCAGCACACGGAGCGCGGGAAGCGTGTTCTGTGTGTGAACATGTGCGAGATTTCTGAGTATGACTGAGCCGCTTCATGAGTGTGAACAGGTAGTGTGAGATGTCTGTAGGTATAGTTGTATAGGAGCTGTGTAACCCAACGCGTGAGATCTGTGGGTGAGTGTTGTGTACATGTGAAGATGTAAGAGCTCTGACACTTCTGTGTGAGTACACCGTGTTCTGTGTGAGTACACCGTGTTCTGTGTGAGTACACCGTGTTCTGTGTGAGTACACCGTGTTCTGTGTGAGTATATTGTGTTCTGTGTGAGTACAGTGTTCTGTGTGAGTACACAGTGTTCTGTGTGAGTATCCTGAGTTCTAAGTACACCGAGTTCTGTGTGAGTATACCATGTTCTGTGTGAGTACACCG